TCGCTCAATTATATTTCTCAAAGATGAATGCCTATGATTGAACACTTCCTCCCGACCACGAGGTTGTCTAGTCCTACGGTATTCCTGAAAGTGGTAAGTATGACCTCGAAATGGGGCCAAATAACCAGGCTTATTGGCATACCCTGAGTCCACCAAATAATACTTACCTGCCATGTTTAGAATACATAAAGATATGTACAGTATGATAAACTAACCATATATTAAGTGAATTTGTAAAATAATATTACCTGCTGGTGGAGCTGGAAAGTTCATTGCCTCATTTTCAGTACACTCATTTAGGATTCTCGAATCATTAGCTGAGCCTTCCCACCCAGCTAGCACATATGTGAACCTCATGTCAAAGTCACATACAGCCATTACATTTTGTGTAGTATAACCCTTTCTACCACGAAATGGAAGTTGTGTACTTGCTGGCAGAGTTGCAGGAATGTGGGTTCCATCTATAGCTCCCACACAATGCCTGAAGTAAGGGTAAAACCTAGAAGACTCTCTAATCTTATTCGGAATCACAGAAAAATTAGGAGGGGCAATGATATGGGTGCCCAACTGACATACTGCATGCAACACAGCATGGAAGTGTCTAGAAATGGTTTCAGTGGAGTGTTGAAATCTCTCTGCTACAACACGATTCCTTTGATTATGAGATAAAGTGAGCAAAAAGATTGCCACTTGTTCATAAACAGTTAAAAATTTAGAATCCTTCAGCCCTATACCTTTCAGGGTACTACACAATGTTCTGAAAACTTCAGGATACATCCTAAAATTTTCATAACATCTTTCTCTATGGCCGTTTAGAATCTCCATAACATATGTTTCCCCTTGTAAAATGGAATCCCTACAACGCCTCTTTTGATAGAAGTTCTGCTCTTCTAAAAGAGCAGCAAATATTAAGACACTCTCATTGTCCTCCTCATCGTCATATAATTGAATTATTCTTCTTATATTGTTCCACATATCCATTACCCTATTTAAAGATTTAATACAAGCAAAACATTTAAGTTAATAAGCAAATCAATTAAATAATAAACAAAACATTTAAATAATAAAACAAACATTTAAATAATGGTATTAAAGTATTTGAGTACTAACAGGCATCCAAGAAATAAAATTATTTAAGTTATTATAGCCATCCAAATGTGAGATAATAAAAAGTATTTAAGTTATTACAACAATCCAGATGTGAGATAATAAAAATATTTAAGTTATTACAGTAATCCAAATGTGAGATAATAAAAGTATTTAAGTTATTACAGTCATCCAGATGTGAGATAATAAAAATATTTAAGTTATTACAGTCATCCAAATGTGAGATAATAAAAGTATTTAAGTTATTACAGTCATCCAAATGTGAGATAGTAATAAGTTAAACGATGACACAAAACACAATCATCCATAAAGAAAAACTCAAACATTCAATGCCCAACCAATTCTTACATCCTCAGGTGCCGAAAGAAAAAATTTCTGCCACTTCTCAGAATCATGTAATAACTTCGATACCTTAGCGAATTGGGCCATCTCAATTCCAGGTATTTTTTGTAAAAGGAGCATGGAGGCATCAAACATTTCATAATCTCTATCATTTTTTGAGGGAGAGAGAGCTTCATCATCTCCTTTCTCACATGAAGATACACGAGTAGAAGTAGAAGATGCTTTAGCTGCTTTCTCTATTGCAGCTTCCATTCTCTCAGCTCTCCTCTCAGAATTCTCATTCATGTTTGACAAGAGTGCAGCTATACCAGGAGATAAAGCATCTCTTTTGGCTTTCTTACGTTTACGTAAAGGTGGGGGACTGACCTCACAACCCTCTTCCTCATCATCGTCATCATTGGGAGTGGGCAAAATGATTGTGGGTGGTGCTGTAGTGGATGGGTGGGCATGTATCCCTTTTGCATATGTGTCCCCAAATATAGTCGACATCTTGTCAAAATGCTTACATCCATACTTTTTATACTTATTTGCATTCGTAACAACCTACAAATTTTGTTATAATATTAACCACATAACCAATAATATACAAGATTTTATTATTTATTTAGGACTAATAATTAAATTACTAACCTTGCACAACCTGTCCCATCTCTCTTCCTCAACTATAACCATGCCCGTCTCATTGTTATATCCCACGCCAGTCTCCGATAATAATTTCTTAAACTCAGTATAAATTTTCCTCAAACCATTAAACTTATTCCGAAGTTGGGTTAAACCAAATTTTCTCCCCGTTTGAACATTCATTTGTTTGACTAAATTACTCCAACCATTTTTACTAAATGTTGTGCCACTACGATTATTAGCTTTAACTTCTTCCACCATAATATTCACGAATTTTTCAATGAGTGACTCATCCCATAACAATTTTCCATCGTTCGTAACTTCAACCACTTCTTCAATTGTGAGAGAATCACCGCATTGTTCCACATTCTCAACATTCATATCCATCTAACATATTAATAACAACACTATAATTAATAACAAAAAAATAATAATTTTAAATTAGGAAAAACTATTGATGGTATTAAAGTTACTCTATCACAACTAGAAAAACTCAAAACATTTACAAATTAATAAACCTATGTGGAAGTTTCCAAATATAATCTAGTTATAGCTTCACAACTCCTCAATACTCAACTGAAAATTGAAACCTCACATTCATTGGTTGATCAACACAGTCTTCTATTTAACTACATAGTATTTCATAGTATTGCTGTCTAGATCAAAAGGGAAAGGAAGAGGGAAAAGGCTGCTACAACATATTGGAATGAAAGTTAAATAGCAGATCCTCAAAAGTTTTCTGATAAACATGGGGACATTAACAACTTTAAAGGTAGTGTGCACCAAGTGCATTACACATATATTGCACTCATCTAAATTGATTTAAAATCATCCCTATATTTAAGCACACTGTTATACAAATGAAGAACATTTTGACAAGTACGATTAATCTAATTAACACACCACATCATCGCACCTCTGACCTTTGAAAAGGTTAAAAATGGGATGAAACAAGAAGAAAAACACCAAAAGAATTACATCCTTTTAACAATTTGGGTGAGAGGGGCAGAGGGGCATAAAACACTCTCATGTGAACCACCAAAACAATTGGATTCTGCCACAGAAAGTGTATAACTCATATATGCATATTAACATCAAGTATAACTCATATATGCACTACACACTCACACACAAATAATGCATAATATTCTAGAATGAAGTACACTTTTGACAAGTACCATTAATCTAATTAACACACACATCTTCGCACCATATCTTCCTTTCCCGTTCTGACCTTTGAACACGTTAAAAATGGGATACAAAAGAAGAAGAAGAAACACAACATCATCAACATGCAAGAAGAATCACAACTCATAATGGTCCATGCCATAAAAGTATATGGTGCGTCCACCAAAAGAATTAACATCCCTCTAAAAGTTTGGGTATGAGGGGCATAAACACTCTCAAGTAAACCACCAAAATAATTGACAGAAGGTGTGCAACTCTTATATGCACATCAATGATCAAGGATACATATATCACTATAAAAGTTCCAATTGCACAAAAAAAAGGTGCATACATCTTCATACTCATCAAGCTTAAACCAACAATTGACAAGGGGGAGCTAATATAAATATATTATCATATATGAAAAGTCATATTGATCAAGCAGCCAAATTAATCAAATTCACACTAATAAATCCAAAATTAAATACAGTTGAAGAGCCTCTGATGCTAACAGAACTTAAATGAAAGGTCATAACCATATAAATTAACTCAAATGGAGACTAATCAATTCCTTCAACCCTCCTGTATTGTATTGTTGTCAATCCAACATACGTAATTTTACCCCGCAAAATTAAGAAGCATTATTCATCAAAAGTTAGATTTTTTTACACAATAATAATCCATATCAATAATTACAGTTCCTTGACAGTGCCCATGACCCAGACAAATTCAGAGGTCTTGTACGCTTATGAAATGACGAGCACATATTAACAACCAATCAGAGAAAACTAACACGAATATATCACCATTTGTCAAAAATTTGGGATTTCTATAAATATTTATTAGGCTCTAACACAACACTGTTGTGGTAATTAATCCAAAAATCGAAAGAAAAATTTAGGGTTTCTACAAATATTGGTTTCCCTTCAAATATAAGCTCAAATCTAACAATATAGAAGAGTTTTATGTTCGTAAAACTGAAAGAAAAACTACGGTTTTCAGAAAAAATCAATTTTTAAAAAAAAAACCCTCCAAAATCAAAGAATATTACACACCATCTATGGATTTCCAACAAAAAAAACTAACAAAAATACAGAAAAACAGCCAATATGTTGAACTTAATCGAACAAAGTTAAACTAAATAGGTCAAACCTGGCTTCTTCTTTGACGAAAAGTGTAAAGGGCTTTAGATCGGTGGTGGTTTTAAGCAAAAAGGCTTGAATTGATTGAAGTTTTCAAGACGCAAGCACTGTATAGTCGAATCGCCACAGAGAACATCAATGGAGGAGAGAGAAAATTGGGGTGCAAAATGACCTAAAATATTTAAGCGTGGCCTTTATACTTGTTGTAGAGTGTTATAAGTTTGGCCGAATTACTTCCTCCGCTACAGTGCATGAAGTGGGCCAAACAGTGCTGAAACAACTTAAAACACCAAAATGGTGTTTCAAGTTTTGGGCCTTTTTTATTAAAATGTTTTACAACTGTTCCAAACAAAACATAACGAGCCAAACATGCTTTGGGCCACTTTTGGGCTACTGTAGCGGACCTGCAACAAAAACACATGAAATAAAACAGATACCAAACAGGGCCTCAGAAAAAAGTTTTTGTAAAAAACAGTTTTCGAGAAATATATCTCGAAACGATTGGATTGAAAATCCTACTTTGGAAAGTGGACCCACCTAAGTACATTACAATGACAGAATTTTATATATACACGAGTATATAATTATATATATATATATATCAGCATAATCGCACAGTGATAGAGAGAGACACCAAACTGAAACAATCCCCCAACTCTCAAATGCCAAAACCACAATAGACGCTGCTTTCGTTTCCAAATCAATCCATCCCTGGAAATATGGCAAACCACAGAAAAGAAAAATAATGGGAATCTTTTTTTTTTTTTTTTTTTTTTTGTGTTTCGGAAGGAAATAATGGGAATCTTTATTCACATGAGAAACGTAACCAAACGCTCCTTCCTTCTTCAACAACTATCATCATCCAATCCCACCAGAGATTCAAATTCCATGGCCAATTCCTCTGTTTGGCTACAATCTCCATTTCCGCACAATGCACCAGTCTTCACCATCTCTCTAAGATTAGGGTTTCCAAAACCTCTCTCTCATCCTTCTATATATCATCTCCTTCATTTTCATCTTCTGCATCACCATCGTCGTCGTATCCAAAGATGGGACTTCTTGTATGGTATTTGGGTAAGCTCGAGTCTCGTCCTCTGCTCACTAAAAGCGTCACTGCCTCATTTATTTTCGCCGCTGCTGACTTGACCTCCCAGGTAAACCCTAGATTAATTTCACCCTTTTCTTTTTCCCTCCCTTTTATATATTTTAAAATGTTATACATATACACACACATTCTGCTTGTCACATTGATAATTTGGTTAACAAGTGACCTATTGTAGAATGGATGTGGAATAGATTTGATCATGATGCTAGTCTGGTCAGTGATATTAATTTTAGCAGAAAAAATGATGTTAATTTTTGTTGGGTATGCAAAATTATTAATGCCATTGACGGTTTTATAAGCATGAGTTGCAAAAGGCTGGACCAGAATTTAATTGAAGGAATGTGCCAAGTGGGAAAAGTACAGATTAGTGATCCATTGATGTTTTGAGTTATTTCTCAACCTGTTGTGTTAGTTTGTATTTTGGGAGTGACTTACTAACCCAATTTATTGGTAAAGACTTCCTAACAGTGGGAAAAAGAAAATGTAACAATTGGAGAAAGAATAACATAATACTGGTGATCACTTACTTAGCTTCTAATGTACCTATGATGCCCATGAGGGGGCGAACTATCGTCAAGTTCAACTTCACCCGTTATCAACAAACTCAAGTTTCAAGAGGGTGGGTAAATCAATGTCCACCCTTTTTATCACTGAAAAAATGAACCAATCTATGATGCACAATAGTTTTGCTCCTGCACCTGGGGGCTGTAAATCAATGTCCTACCCATCATGGCGCATTACCTGCATATGTTTAGACTTGAACTTGTATGTGTCTAATAACACATTTATATACATATCAAGTATCACTTTCGGTTGAGGAGCATATTGGAGGTTCTTGACTCTACAATCTAGGAATTTTGTTTCTACTGTTTTAGCCTGTGCTTTCACTTTAAACTTACGTATGCTGGGTATCTACTATGAATAAGGAATTATGGTTCGAAGGAAGTTATGTACGATATTTATTATTTGTTCTACATGTCATAATGGCAGCACAACCTTAAAGCTGTCACTGTGGTTATTAAATCCGCCTTGAAGCTGCAAAAAATCTGACTTGTTCAGTTTGATCCTTACATCGAATGGAGGAAAATTATGAATAGAAGGATTAGTCAGTCCTTGATACAAATTTGTATTCTTAGAAATATGGCTGTCTAACACACATACACACATGCCGTTCAAAAAAAAAAAAAAGAAACACATACACACATTCTATTTGAAAAATATATGGACCTAAAATTTGGGATAGGTAAGGGCTACTGCCAGTTGCTGGAGCTGTTTGATTGATTTTTGTATGCCTCATGGCTGATCTAAAAAGATTAATGTCTCAATTCTACTTGAAAGATTTAAGTAACAAATTATTCTTTCTAAAGTGGCTTCCTTTAGAAACTCGGCATATGACTCTCTGAACTTCTTTTTATGCAGTTAATGGGTTTAATGAACAGGTAAATTCTGTTAATTATATATCCTTGTTGACTGATCATAATATAACTCTTTGTCAGACGATTACAATGCCATCTTTTGGTTCCTTTGACTTTCTAAGGACATTGCGTATGGCTGGATACAGGATGCTTATTTTAGGGCCAGCACAGCATGTGGTATAATTTCATGGGAAGAGTCCGACCAAAGCGTGATGTAGTCACTACCTTGAGGACACTTATTGTGGGGCAGCTTACTTATGGACCTACTGTCAATGCTATTTCCTTCTTCAATGCGGCTCTACAAGGTAACCACATATATTTTTTTTATATACGTTTTTGCTGCTACTTAAAAGAGCTGTATTTTTTTTATTATTTATAAAATACCGTTGTAGAATATATTTAACGATATAAGCTCTGTTACATGGACTCTCCTATTTTCTTCTCGTACATTTGTAGACATGACATGGGTATGGGTACAGGATATGTACACACAAATCTAAATTAGACACCCTAATTCTTCACATGGGTGATTGAAAAAGGAAAAAAACAAAAATCAAATTTAATGGCAGAGATAAGTTTTCTATCTATTAGAAAGAGGGGGAGTGGGACCATTTTTCTTTCCCCCATAAGCTAGAGGGGCACCATTTTCTTTCACCATATCTCATTTTATTTGAGTAATAATTGAGTATGTTCTTATAAATCACCAATATTATATATATAAATATTTGATAGGCAAGCTGAGGTTTCATTAGATAAACATATCCAATATAGGATTACAAGGGCGTCCAACTGGATTTATAAAAAAAAAAAACACCACAACCACCAATCCAAAATGGGAAGATCTAAAGGCCTAAAGTGCAGCAAACTGAACAATAGGTATGTGTAGACCTCTTGATCTTGGGTCACATCTATCGATCACCAGAAACAGATCCATCTGCAACCACCATCAATGGCTAGACACATAGAACCTCTTTTTGAGGTCTAAAAGCAGCAACAGTAAGAAAATTATGCACGTCCCACTCGATCAATGCACATTTTGTGGCTTCTCAAGAACTAAGCTTGAAGTAAGTTGTTGCTTATGAATGTATAAATAAAGCCCTACTGGGGTGTGGGATTGAGATGCTTGTCGACCTACCTGGATCAGGAGCAGTAGATTTGAAGTTACCCAGTGTTGTCCCTGTTAAACTAGGGTGCTGGAAAGGGCATACCACATAGGGAACTCAACTTTTGACATTTTTTTGTATAAAGTGACTGTTCTTAGGAATCAGGGGCAGTAGCGTCAAGATGGATAATCTAAGGAGGAGGCCTTAGGGCATAATCTCATTTGGGGACTTGAACTTCAATGGTGCAAATGGGGAGATCTGTTAAAGTTGTCAACATCTCTCCGAACAGTGCCTCCTCAAAAGACTTTGCCTTCAATATACGTATATTGATTAAAAATGACCAAAATGTGAGACAGGAAAGGTACAAAATATCTTTAGTCTTGAACAGGTGGACCTCTAAGAACTCTTGGTTGTACTGTGATTGTTTGATGATATTTATCATGCTGAATATAAGTACTTATAATATAAGCAATTGTTAATTACTCATTACCCTGAGGTAGGTGGAGCCTGTAGTCATGCACATCACTCCCCACTCGTCTATTAGCCCAACATGAGGATCAATGGAAGTTTTTTGCTTTTCGAAGTGTGGGAATACCTCAGTCCTTTGAAGGTTGATGTAAGGATGGAACAAGAACTCTTAGGTTTTTTGATACTAGAGAAATTTTGTTTGTAGCACCATGAAGCCATTGGGCGACTTTCCTTGACAATAAGAGCTTTTTGTAGAACTTAGCATAATTCAAGAAATGCTTGAAAAGAAAGGTTGCAGAAAATAACAGAGAAGAGCAAGCCCGAGGAGACCAAGCTCCTTAGACAGAAACCCAACAAGCGAGGAAAGTTTTCCAGCTTGAAAGGGAAAATCTTTATCCAAATTGGCAGCCTCCTCAATATGAGTTTGGTTGTTCTCCAAAGTCACTGCTTTATCCAAGGGACTCTGCTTGCATCTTTAAGAAAGTCACGGGCCTAAAATAAACCTCATTTCTTGAATTATGCTAATCCCACCAGTGATAGAGATAGACACCGACACCAACCTGAAACCATCTCCAACTCTCAAATGCCAAAACCACAATAGATGCTGTTTCCGTTTCCAAGTCAATCCATTCCTGGAAATAGGGCAAACCACAGAAAAGAAAAATAATGGGAATCTTTTTTCACATGAGAAACGTACCAAACGCTCCTTCCTTCTTCAACAACTATCATCATCCAATCCCAGCTGAGATTCAAATCCCATCGCCAATTCCCCTGTTTGGCTACAATCTCCATTTCCCGCACAATGCACCAGCCTTCACCATCTCTCTAAGATTAGGGTTTCCAAAACCTCTCCCTCATTCTATATATCATTATCTCCTTCATATTCATCTTCATCATCATAGTTGTCGTATTCAAAGATGGGACTTCTTGTATGGTATTTGGGCAAGCTCGAGCCTCGTCCTCTTCTCACTAAAAGCATTACTGCCTCGTTTATTTTTGCCGCTGCTGACTTTACCTCCCAGGTAAACCCTAGATTAATTTCACCCCTTTCTTTTTCCCTCCCTTTTATATATTTTAAAATTTTATACACACATACAAAAGTGATATTCTTAAAATTTAACCAGATATGGGAGTGAAATTTTATTTAAGAATATATGCCGCAATATGATCGTTGTGCGACAGAGAGCCGAACCAAATATAGACTTAACATTTAATATTATTATTTAGACAAAAGTGATATTCTGAAAATTTGAACGTGTCTTCTAACATTTGAGAGTCCAAACATTTTCTTAGTACACTAGGCAATGACACATCTTTAAAATAATATATTGCATTTATAATTACTATTATTCATATGTCACATGTAATTAAAACTTTTTTACGTTTTTTACCGTCCAGACTCCAGAATATACTAAACTTCACATAAAGTGAGTACACTTTAGATTTGCCTATTTTCTTCCTTCTTTTATATTTTAGATTTGTCATGTATTTTCCTTAAATTAACAATCCTCAATTTATCAAGCATATGTTTATAATTTTGGAATCTTTCATTAATAATAATTTAAGAAAAGCAACTCCCACATAAATATTCTTGGTTAAACTTCCTAATTACTACTTAGATATCTGAAAAATAAAAGGGTATGATAATAAATGATGGCTGGATTTTTTTAGTTTTGATGAATTTTATCCAACAAAACCATCACTTGTGATGGTTGAAGTTGTTCGTATTAGACGGCACACGATACATGCACTTTCAGGCATGTGTAAACTATGAGCCATCAAACATGTGTGAATTGTGAGCTGTTGAGGTCCTACACCGAAATCCAACACCAATGCTGAAAGTGGTGCATTCAATATGTATCTTTTTCCGCTCTTCGAGACTGTATTTATCTATTTGTTGTTAAAACGCTCGGACAACTAAAAAATACTGCTAGGAATTTAGAATAATTAACAACATTAAATTTTTTTTAGTTGATTCTTTTTTGCACCGGATCCCAACACCAGTGTTGAAAGTGCATTCAGTTGAATATTTTTATTTATTTATTTAGTAATAATTATACTTACCTCTCTTTTAATTTCAAATATACTTACCTCTCATCTGGCTCAAATACGAGTAACACGAGGACCTCTCGTCATAACACATTTGGATCTTGCTCAATATTTATTTAAATACTTAAAAAGCTTGAATTTTTTTAATTTTATTTTTTTATAAAGAAACAAATATTTAATATTAAAAATAAAGTTATAATATATATATATTTTGTCCTGGGCCCTGGTAATGGTTAGAGAATTAGTAATTAGTGGGGGATAGGGGAGGGCATTCAAACCTGGGAATGTAGGGTGGGGGGCACTAAGGCCTGACCCTTTTAGCACTCCAACATCATCACACCCTAAGTTACAATAGATATAATAGTCATTTAATACATTTGGGTCAGTGTATATGTGTGTGTGTGTGTGTATATATATATGTATATTAATCTTTTGTGAATTTAATTTTGTGTACATTGTAGGACTCTGCACATTTATGCAGTTTTCCCACACATTCGCTCCTTTGTAACTACATATCTCTCTCTTACGCTTTCACTCTCTCTCCCTCTAAAGAGAAGATATCTATAGGGCTTCAAACGTTCCCTGCCATTCACTCTCAAGCCTACCGTCGTCGAATGCTCATTATGTCCGTATACACACTGACACACGCGCGCTCACATCTATGTGTATGTTTGTATCTGTAAGAGAAGAACTTTACGGTTTTGCTTGGGGTGTGTTCGTTCTTGGTTTGCTTTGTTATGGTTTTAATCTCTCATTGCTCTATCTTTTATGATTTAGCTGTAATTGGGCTTCTCATTAGCTGTTGTGATACTCATTTTGATTAAAATGTACCTAGACGAGTGATTGATTTTGTGTCTGAATGTTAAGTGTTTATTATTTTGCTAATTTCTCAGTGTGCTTTTTGGGGAATTTGTGTTTGTTACTCATGTGTGCTCTATGATTCTTTTAGCATTTTGGGTCTGAACAATGAATTGACTGATGTTTAATGAGGCTACTTGAGGAGGATTTTTTGGGAATTTTTATATTATGCTTGGGTTGTAACCGTTGATGGTCAAATAGTTTTAGGAATTAACATACTAATAAAATATAATAAACCACAATAAATAAGGATTTTTATTAAAATATCCCAACAGGATTAATGTGGCTTAATGGTATGGTCCAATTAAGACATCTGGCTTTTGCCAATTTTTGGAATGCATGGCCGGTTGTGCAACTGCTCGCTGAATGGAGTGAGGGATTTAATTTCCAAATTTTTATAAGTTTGATAATGCTAGACTCGATTAGCGGCTCAGAATAAAATGTGCTAAAAGTTGAGGTTGTTAGCCTTTGGAGATGGAGATATGGAAGCCTGAATTTCAATTGGTGAGCAACTAGAAAGAGTTTTATATAAATAATCCACTCTTTATGTCAGTGTTTACTTCTTGAAAATCCGTGGTACCCTTCAACTTAAAGATCTTTCTTTGTGTCATTTATTTCCTCTCACATGTAAGCCATTGCATAGAAGACCTATAGATGCACCAGTAAGAAGAGGAAGACTACATTTTTTCTTTGTGTCATTTTATTCCTCTCATCTGTAAGCCATTGCATAGAGGGTAGGAGGCAGAGCGGGTGCCAAAAATTAACATGGAATGAAATCATTTCAAAAAGTTAAATATTAGAGGAGAGATGGCTTATAATAGAAAAGAATGGAAAAAGAGAATTCATGTCGCTGACCCCATTTATATGGGATTAAGGCAAGGATGATACTAATCTGTAAGCCATTACATCTGCGCACTGCTTGCAGATGTCCTAACATTTAGCATTGCACGCTTGTAATTCTTGAAAAAATGGCTTCATAATGCAGTTAAAAAAAAAAAAAAAACTCAGCTCTCTTACTAAAACTTGTAGTTGATGTCTCGAAGAACGTGGATCATTTTGCTATGTAGAATGGGAATAGGTCATGACATGCCACATACCCTAGCAGCAAATATGGTATTACAGGGTCACAAGGACAGCCTTGTACAGTGGCATAGAATGTGATGGTATATTTTTATGCTAAGAATGGTTTTCTATTGACTCATAAATAAGAAAAAGTTAATATTATTAAAAAGAATAAGTTGTCCATTTATTTTTGTAAACTCATATTAGAGTTGTCAAGTCAATAGAACTTAGGTTAGCAAATTTCCTTGATCAAATTAGTGTCTGTTCGGTTCTTCCGTTCGGTCAATACAATCTCACCAATCCCCCTACCGGTCACATTGTCTTTAGTAATAGCTACTCTTGCTGAGGCTAAAGTCTTCACCTATGAATGATGTCTATGTTAGCGAGCTTGACTTTTGATTTAATTTCTACTTTAGTTAGAAAATTCACAAGTTAGTGTTACGGTGGTTACCTCTTGCTCATGGTCGAAGATTTAGGGGCAAATGCGTAATCTTGTACACCAAGGGCGTGTTCATGAATATGCTAGGTTCAGAGACAACTTGTTGCAAGGTTTATGTCTTCTTCCAACATTATAATGCAAGGATTTTGTGTTACTTGAAGATACTTTTGGAAGTTTAGAAGTATGAACTGGCAACATTTTCTGTAAAGTATTAGCTACTTTGTAAATTCTTGCACTCTAGCGCAGGCACAGTATCATTTATACTTCTTTATTTTTCTAATTAATAACAATATCTAATAAACATATCAGGATCTCTATCTCTAGCTGCCTGTGACTTTCACATTTGCTTCAATGTAGTGGCGTTTTGGGAAGCTCTGAGAGCACTTCTCCTAATTTGATGGCTGTCTTTCTCATAATTGATGCCTGATGCTACCATGAGCTGAGGACATGACTGCTAACTGATCTGCATCCTGATTTAGTGGGATAGTTTGCACTATAATTAAAGATATTACAGTATCCATATGCTGGCAAAATAGAGAGAGAATCCTAATAGTAGCGCTGCCTCTTGATGGGTGCAATTAAGATCAAGTCAGCCCGGACCTGCTATGGTTTGTTCATACCCCATAACAATGAATGCTCTAGTAAAGACTATTGTGGTTCAAGTTGAAGGCATCTTGATGATGAGGGAGAAGTGATAAAGGTTTTGGGTAGTAGTAGTGAAAGTGGCATGCCCACAATTTTTATCTGCAGACCTTCCATTTCATTAACTTGAAGGAGGATGGTGAGGCCAACAGAATCAGAGTGGGGTGAGGCCGAGAACCAACTCTGGATGTGGACATGGTGGATAGTAGTTCATCCTCATTGACTGCATTCCTTCTTCAAACAACTCTCTTATATCCCCAGCCTCAATCTTTAGAGCTTTAGGTATGAAATCGAGTATCTTTATAGCATGTTGTTTCAACTCAGACGCATAAACTTCCTGGGTATCTCTGCATGAAAAATTTAGTAGGCGTCAAAACTACTAAATAAATATTAGTTTAGAAGCTTGCGAAAACCAGTGACCCTAGCCCTAGGAGTTCACCTAGTGTTCAGGAGCTTGTGAAAGAACCCGTGCTTGCCATACCAAACCACTATGTTCAACTGGATCAAGAATCTTCAATTCTCTTGGATGAACTTCCTGGCCCACAATTCCTTTAATCAATATGGAACATTTGGTTATGGAAGAAGCCAAAGATTATCAACTAGAGAAGTTGCACTCAACGTGCAAAGAGAGGAGCATTTTTCAGGTTTAATTTCATCCCCCCTTCACAAAATTTTAGTCGTCATATTCTTTCCAATCCTAGATGTGCTTTGAAAGTTGATCTTGGAAAGCATAGAATTCAGTCCACAGTTCATTGTTTTCTGTAATGTTGCCTTTGGGAGTAATGAATTGACGTTTTAGATTGAGAATTGAAGGAAATTTAATTCAGACTTGTCCTAAATTTCCTCAAATTCCAAATTCAAGGCGTGGATTCGGTCCAAAACATAGCATAACTTTAAATGGCAAATTAGCTAGTTGGATATTTCAAAGACATTGTTGCAGGCAAAAAGATGAGAAAGAAAGAAACTAAAAGAAATACAAGTTATAGATTTGGCCAAATTAAAACCATACAATAATTAAGCTTTGTTTTCCAATTTGTTTGTTTGTATTTATATATTTGTAGATATATGTTTACAAATAAAAAGAAAATAATGCACAAAAACTAACAGTAGTGATTATATATGTTTATAGCTGGTGAACCAGGGAGTGGATTCTTCATTAGTGGAGAAACTGAAATATGAGATTGAAGAACTCTACAAGCTCCCTATGGAAGAGAAAATGAAACATAAGACGAGGCCTGGTGATGTTGAAAGGTATGGACAAACCATTCTCTTCTCCGAAGATCAAAAGGTTGACTGGGCTGATAGATTTTATATGATAACTAACCCCCAACCATAGAAGACAACAACCGTAAACATCCCTCTAGATGAACCATCATACCGATCCAACAACGATCACCAAAAGATCTCCAAGATAACCACGTATCATATCAGGGTACCGAACAAGACAATGCGGCAGTACGAATAACGACCAGAACCAGCCCACGACGTACTCAAATTTGTGGTAGCACATATTGGCTGGGATGGCCACTCTGGTAGTGCACCCAGTTGGATGAATGAATTCAGGACAGACCCTGATTTCGCGACAACATCTATTGGTAACGTTAACGAAACAAGAGGTCCCGGTCATGCTCTCTCCACATGGTCATCTCAGGATTTCGACCAAATGGAACGACAACCAGTTTTTGAGACGTCCAAAGACATGCTACCTACAGATCTTCCCAATATTCCAAAGAAACAGAAGCGGAAAAAGACCAAGTCAAGTAATTCCTCCCCCAAGTCTTCCTCTTCCACGTCAAGATCGTCACGATCAGCAAAATCGAAGGCTAAATTTGCTGAGACCACCCGAAATACAAATTTAGAAGTGGTGTAGGATTATAAAGTTGGAGCCAGGATAGAAGACTCTTAAATGAGCATTGCAGAAGAATTTTCAACGCGCATATCGAGATCATGATGTTCGATGAGGATGCAGGAAGTTGAGAGATGATGTGTAAATTTAGAAGAACAGGGCATGGTATTGAAGTGAGACAAAAGTTGTAACCTGTTCAAGTGACAATGGGTAGGGAACATGCAATTCTTTTTTTCCTTTTGGGATTCATGACAGTTATCAAACATGTAAAAATATGCATCATTTAGTTGTGTTGTTGATTGAAAAAAAAAAAAAAGAAAGAAAGAAATTCCAGCGTGAAAGGAAAAAAAAGTGGAAAAAAAAAAACCGGAAAAAAAAAACGAGAAAAAAAAAAAAGGAAGGGAAAAACAAGAAAGGAAAAAAAATGATAAAAAGAGTGTGAAAAAAGAGTGGAAAAAAAAAAAAAAAAAAAGTTTTGTTTTAATCCTTTGTTTTGCTGTTTTGCGTGTATAGTTATACATGATGTATGCGTAAAGAGGAATACCGGAAGAGGCCATGTGATTGATTAAAAAAAAGAAGAAAAAAAAAACCTACATGATGTATGTGTAAATAGGAATACTGGAAGAGGCCATGTGATTGAAAAAAAAAAAAAAAACTACAAGATGCATTCTGTGTTCCTATGAAGAAAGTCACCAAGGAAAAGGAAAGAGACGAAAAGTAGTATTAAAGAAAGCTACCATGTGAATAAAGTGGCTAAAAAAAGACGTGAGGGAAAGTATCTTTAATGGGTATATGTGTGTGTATATATATATTACAGACATATGCAGATATAAAGAAAGAAAGAAAGAAAGATTTTGTTTTAGCATACCTTCACGGTTGAAAAAAGTGCTTGAGCAAGGCTGACAATTTGGTGCGCTAAGCTGGTCGACGTGACTCAATGCCTCAAGTATCTTCGGGGTCTAATAGTGACTTTTGAAGCTTTAAAGTGATACTGATGAACCCATGGCTGTGGTCATATTTATAGAGGAAAAAATAATCCTTTCTATAATAGAATCTTTGAACTTCTTGTTCAAATTGGAAAGTGAAAAATTACGGTCCAATATTGAATAGAAAAGTGAAAAAAGCCAAAATTTTTAAATCATCCAAAGTTGGATAGAAAAAGTTTTTTACAATTCAAATACCAAGTTGGATACTTCAAGTCCAACTTGAAAAAACAGATAAGTCTTGTCAAACTTGGGATTTGAAATGGGGGCAATTTGTAGACACTAAAATTTTAGTGGACTTTAGCTTTGACAAATGGACCCATTAAATATGGGCTTAAAGTTTAATTAAGTTATTTAATTGGCCCAGGCTTGGTCCACTTAAATTATTTAATTAACCCAGCCCAGATGGTTAAATAAACAGATAATTATTCTTAATAAAATATATTTGAAATAATTATTTTTAAGAATAATTATCACAGTATAACCAGCTCGGCCCAGTTATAATTTTATCTTTATCAGGAGATGACACGTGTCATCATCCTATTAATCCAATAAGCCTATAAATAGAGGCTTGGAGGAAGAAGAAAGGTGTACACAAAATCAAAATTCAGAAATCTAGAATTTCAAAGAGAAATACAGAAACTCTCATCCCCAACATCCAAACCCACAAGTGAAGAACACCAAGCACATCAAATCGTGCCGTTCTTCATCAAATTCCACGGTGATCAACAACAAGCACAGCCAAAGACGTGCCGTTCTTCATCAAATTCCACGGTGATTCAAGATCAAGCCTGTGCAGCCCTTGGATCCAACCAACCAACAAAAAAAGGAGATTTAATCAGAGGACCAGTTCTTTCTTTTGTAAAGAATATTACAGAGGATTGTACCTCAATTTCTCAAATTAATAAATTATATTATTTGCTCCATATTTTGTTTCTATTGCAAACTTACAAAATTTGTGTGTACACATATCATCGAATATAACTATACATATATAAAATTCGTCCTATCCAAAATATAAAATAAATATCTGGTATATCATCCAACTGTTTTGTTGACCTGACATGAATATAAATAGGATTTAACATTTTAGTTAATTCATTCCCTTATACAAGAATAGGTAGGGTTTAACTTTTCCGTTAATCCGTCCCTAAAATGCCATCATCCCATACTGGTGCATTTCATCTACACAATCCAATAATTGATGTAATAGTTATAATATTACATCAAATAAATTCAGAAATAAGCATAATAGAAATCAGTTATATACATGATCATATTATGCAGCCAATACATGATTAAAATCATATAACTTCCATTTAAATTGCTATAATTGTTTTAAGCAATTAAATCCTTTATTATTAACATGCAAATTCAATTATAATTTCGTACTGATTTAATCCTTAGCATAATAAAATCATAAACAAAACATGATTGTATTACACTGCCAAAATATAATTAACATCACCCAATATCCACTTTAAATTGTTAGAATAACAGTAAGCAATTAAATCATCCATATCCAATAATAACACGCCAATTTATTTTAAAATTTCATATTGTTCAAGTTCTTAACATACTAGTGTTTATTATGCATTATGTGATTTTACCATGTCAATAATAATCATTTAAAACCCCCCGTGAACCTCCAAGTCAACCTTAGAACTTCAAAATACCAAAACAGAACCCAAAAACACGTCAAAAACCAACCTCTAGGAATGGAGCCACCTCCATTCCTGCTACTCTCCGTCTTCTTCGTCTCCAGCGACTTTTGGCTGTTCCGATTGTCAATGTTAAAGGTCATAACCCTCTGTTCTAAGTTCCAGACATCCCCAGATAATTAATTAAAGTTATTATGCATCTTAATCCCATATCAAAACAAGTTATCATGCAATAAAATTCATGATTAAGCAAGAACACATAACAACACATAAAATTAGTTTTAATTCAGTTCAAGCATGCATAATAGATTGATTTAATATCTAATTACTTCTGGAATTAACCTAGGCATGCATAGAGCATGAATCTAAGGGAGAGAGTGGGAGCAAAACTTGCCTTAAGGTTTCGGAATGAAACCTTAACCTCTCCTTCCTAGCTTTTTCGGCGACCTCTTGGCTGCCTTCGAAGCCCTTTATTTAATTTATTATTTTTTATCTTGACAAGAAATTTACACATCTGCATGCCCTAGTGGGGATTTGAACCATCTACTTTTCACTTCGAGAAGTAGATAATCTAGATTAATGCTCCCCTTGTTTGGATGTTAAAATTTAATTTAATTTATTTTTAGTTTTTTGGTATTTGATTGTCCAAAATTTAAGTAAAATACTTACATAGTAATATAAACCTAACAAAAACAACTTGTGCCCCTTTTTTTTTTTTTTTTTTTTTTTTTTTTTTTTTTTTTTTTTCAGGACCTTTGCCAAATACCAAAAAATAAAAATAATAAAATATTTTACTTGAAGAGGTTTATGTAAAATATATTTTTTGAGAAAGATATTTTACGCAAACAGAGCCCAAGTGGTTACAACTTACTTATTATTTATTACATGCTTCATAACAGAATCAATACTAAGTTGATTTAAGAGAAAATACTAATTTTTAAACTATTTGCACAAATAATATGAACTGAAATTTGACTAAATTTATGCACTGATTTATTATTAATAATACTTATTTGAATTCTAGGTTCACTATAATAGACATATATGCCCTTAATTTTTTTATTTTTTATTTAAGTAGATTTTTTTAAAAGTAATATTAAAATTGAGTTATCGAATACACTTAATTGAGTTATTATATTGATAATCTGAGTACTAACTAAAGTTATCAAGTACCTCGTAACTAGCAATAATTGAATGCAAATTAAGAAAAGAAGATCTAATAGAGTTTAAATGATTAATTTCAATAATTAGGCATAAAATTAACAAGGAGCAAAAGGAATTAAATTTATGGTTAAATACGCTGACCTAGGTTTGGCCTAATAGAATATTTTTTCTTTTTATGTTCTCTCTGCCATTTTTTTAGTATGATAAAAAATTATTACTCTCTTCTTTTCTCTGTTTTAGTTATTTAATATGATTAGTCAACATTGTTATCAAATGGTTAACATTTTTTTTTAATGGCAAAATAATAATAATTATTATTATAAATACAAACCATCACTACTACCCTCACCTGTTATCATCCAAGGTGACATTAAAATTGTCTTTTAAGACAACTTATCTATAGACATTTCACTTCCCATTCAGGTTCAATATGTAATCTCTCCCATCAGAAAACTAATGAGGTGTTATAACCTATTAAGGGAGAAAATCACTTAACCATTTCACTTCTCATCCAGCTAATTAATGAGGGCAGTAGGTGTAACGAGCCTAGTACTTGGCATTAATGAGGTGTTACAACCTATTAGAGAGAAAATCACATAACCATTTCAGTTCTCATCTAGCTAACTAATGAGGTCAGGATGTGTAACGAGCCTGATATTCGGTGGAGGCTAACACTTAGGATATGTTTGGTGTAAATAAATGGAATCAAATAAAGTGAAATGTAATGCATTTGTTTCCATTGTTTTGTTTAGTATATCACATCAAAAGTGGAATGGTCATTCTTAGGGAATGCCCATTCCTCTTATCGAGAGGTGAAATGACCATTCTATTCCCACCAAGAATTAATAAAATAATAAAGTAAATTAAAGAGATAATTTACGCATACACACACCATATAAAATATAATATGTATTTATATGCCGTTTGTTCCCTCTCTTCGATTTACACACACAAGGATGAGACAAAAATAGTATAATTGAACTTCTATGAGCTTTTGTGCTTTGTTATGCAACTTTCTCAGTCATTATCTAGCCCTCTATTTCTGTTTCTCGCCGGAAAAGATGATCGGAAAATTATATTTTTCCCTTTTATTTTTAATGTCGTCGAAGAGCCCTCTGTTTCTTTTATCCTTCTGTTTCTTTTATCTAGTCTATTTTCTCTCTCTCTCTCTATTATCTCTTTCCCTTTTATTTTTGTTGTTTCTCTCTATCTCGTCTATTTTTCTCTCTCTCTATTATCTCTTTCCCTTTTATTTTTGCAGATTAATTTTTTTAGTTAATTTTTTTTTACTAATAATAAAATGTAATTTAAAAAACAATTTAAATTCATGCTATTCCAACTTTCTTACCAAACATAGGAATAAGAATGAGATTCTATTTTTACATATTCCATATTTGTAACCAAATGATAGAATGAAAATCATTATTCATATTCCATCCCATTCTTATTCCATTCTCACCTTCATTCTCATTCCATTCCAATGCATTCCACCACAACAAACATGCCCTTAACCCATACATACTCATTTAACTTTCCATCCGAATTCAATGTATTCAATCTAAAAAGTTATATTAGGTGGAGGTTAACAATTAATTTATATATACTTATTTAACTTTTCATTCGAATTTAAAATGAGACAAGATTTTCTTTGTAACATTCTTCTCCATCTGTCGGATAATAACGAATAAAGAAATTTGTTGACTGTGATACCAACCATGATTCACAATTCAATCCAAAAACTAAGTTTGGAAGATGGACTAACACTTCACTAGTAGTATAAACTAATTTTACTGTCAACTTTCGAAAAAAAAATTTTACTGTCAAAAGAAAGAAAGAAAAAACAAAAAAACATTTTGACTTAGACCTGGCCAGCTGTCACCGTCCTGAACTGACAATTAGATTGCACCAAGGTACATTACAAACACGGAATTTTATATATCAGCATCAACACCGGTGACTGAGAGAGACAGCGACACCAACCTGAAAATATCTCCAACTCACAAATGCCAAAACCACAATAGACGTTGTTTCCGTTTCCAAATCAATCCATCACTGGAAATAGGGCAAACCACAGAAAAGAAAAAATAATGGGAATCTTTTTTTCACATGAGAAACGTAACCAAACGCTCCTTCCTTCTTCAACAATTATCATCATCCAATCCCACCAGATATTCAAATTCCATCGTCAATTCCCCTGTTTGGCTACAATCTGCATATTCCGCACAATGCACCAGTCTTCACCATCTCTCTAAGATTAGGGTTTCCAAAACCTCTCCCTCATCCTTCTATATATCATCTCCTTCATATTCATCTTCTGCATCATCATCGTCGTCGTATTCAAAGATGGGACTTCTTGTATGGTATTTGGGTAAGCTCGAGTCTCGTCCTCTGCTCACTAAAAGCGCCACTGCCTCATTTATGTTCGCCGCTGCTGATTTGACCTCCCAGGTAAACCCTAGATTAATTTCACCCTTTTCTTTTTCTTTGTGTCATTTATTTCCTCCCACATGTAAGCCATTGCATAGAAGACCTATAGATGCACCGGTAAGAAGAGGAAGATTACATTTTTTCTTTGTGTTATTTTCTTCCTCTCATCTGTAAGCCATTGCATAGGGGTAGGAGGGAGAGCTGGCGCCCAAAATTAACGTGGAAAGAAATCATTTCAAAAAGTTAAATATTAGAGGAGAGATGGCTTATAATAGAAAAGAATGGAAAAAGAGAATTTATGTCGCCGACCCCATATATATGGGATTAAGGCAAGGATGATGTTAACCTGTAAGCCATTACATCTGCACACTACTTGCAGATGTCCTAACATTTAGCATTGCACCCTTGTAATTCTTGAGAAAATGGCTTCATAATGCAGTTAAAAAAAAAAAAACTCAGATCTCTTACTAGAGGAAACTTGTAGTTGATGTGTCCAAGAACATGGATCATTTTGTATGTAGAATGGGAATAGGTCATGACATGTCACATACCCTAGCAGCAAATACGGTATGACAGGGTCAGAGGGGAAGCCTTGTACAGTGGCATAGAATGTGATGGTATATTTTTATGCTAAGAATGGTTTTCTATTGACTCATAAATAAGAAAAAGTTAATATCATTAAAATGAACAAGTTGTCCATTTATTTTTGTAAACTCATATTAGAGTTGTCAAGTCAATAGAACTTAGGTTAGCAAATTTCCTTGATCAAAATTAGTGTCTATTCAGTTCTTCCGTTCGGTCAATACAATCTCACCAACCCCCCTACCCGTCACATTGTCTTTTGTAATAGCTACTCTTGCTGAGGCTAAAGTCTTCACCTATGAATGTTGTATATGTTAACGAGCTTGACTTTTGATTTAATTTTTACTTTAGTTAGAAAATTCACAAGTAAGTGTTGTGGTGGTTACCTCTTGCTCATGGTCGAAGATTTAGGGGTAAGTGCGTAAGCTTGGTCACCAAGGGCGCGTTCGTGAATATGCTAGGTTCAGAGACAAGTTGTTGCAAGGTTTATGTTTTCTTCCTACATTATAATGCAAGGATTTTGTGTTACTTAAAGATACTTTTGGAAGTATGAACTGGCAACATTTTCTGTAAAGGATTAGCTACTTTGTAAATTTTTGCACTCTAGCGCAGACACAGTAACATTTATACTTCTTTATTTTTCTAATTAATAACAATATCTAATAAACATATAAGGTCTCTCTCTCTCTAGCTGCCTGTGACTTTCATACATGCTTGACTGTAGTGGCATTTTGGGAAGCTCTGACAGCACTTCTCTTAATTTGATGGTTGTCTTTCTCATAATTGATGCCTGGTGTTACCATGAGCTGAGGACACGACTGCTAACTGATCTGCATCCTGATTTAGTGGGATAATTTGCACTATAATTAAGGATATTACAGTATCCATATGCTGGCAAAATAGAGAGAGAATCATAATGGTGGCGCTGCCTCTTGATGGGTGCAATTAAGATCAAGTCCCGGACCTGCTATGGTTTGTTCATACCCAATAACAATGAATGCTCTACTAAAGACTATTGTGGTTCAAGTTGAAGGCATCTTGATGATGAGGGAGAAGTGATAAAGGTTTTGGGTAGTAGTAGTGAAAGTGGCATGCCCACAATTTTTATCTGCAGACCTTCCATTTCATTAACTTGAAGGAGGATGGTGAGGCCAACAGAATCAGAGTGAGGGGTGAGGCCGAGAACCAACTCTGGATGTGGACATGGTGGATAGTAGTTCATCCTCATTGACTGCATCCCTTCCTCAAACAACTCTCTTATATCCCCAGCCGCAATCTTTAGAGCTTTAGCTATGAAATCGAGTATCTTTATAGCATGTTGTTTCAACTCAGACGCATAAATTTCCAGGGTATCTCTGCATGAAAAATTTAGTAGGTGTCAAAACTACTAAATAAATATTAGTTTAGAAGCTTGTGAAAACCAGTGACCCCTAGCCCTAGGAGTTCACTTAGTGTTCAGGAGCTTGCGAAAGAGCCCGTGCTTGCCATACCAAACCACTATGTTCAACTGGATTAAGAATCTTCAATTCTCTTGGATGGAACTTCCTTGCCCACAATTTCTTTAATCAATATGGAACATTTGGTTATGGAAGAAGCCAAAGATTATCAACTAGAGAAGTTGCACTCAACATGCAAAGAGTGGAGCATTTTTCAGGTTTAATTTCATCCCCCTTCACAAAATTTTAGTCATTATATTCTTTCCAATCCTAGATGTGCTTTGAAAGTTGATCTTGGAAAGTATAGAATTCAGTCCATTGAGCTTTTATTCTTGGCTGTGTATTTCTTCTTAAATTTCCCAATTCCTTCTTCACTTTGTGAAAATATGCATTTCTTGTTCATTGTTTTCTGTAATGTTACGTTTGGGAGTAATGAATCGACATTTTAGATTGAGAATTGAAGAAAATTTAATTCAGACTTTGTCCTAAATTTCCTCCAATTCCAAATTCAAGGCGTGGATTGGGTCCAAAACATGGCATAACTTTAAATGGCAAATTAGCTAGTTGGATATTTCAAAGACATAGTTGCAGGCAAAAAGATAAGAAAGAAGGAAACTAAAAGAAATACAAGTTATAGATTTGGCCAAATTAAAACCATACAATAATTAAGCCTTGTTTTCCCATTTGTTTGTTTGTGTGTGTGTATATATATATATATATATATATATATATATATGTAGATATATGTTTACAAATAAAAGAAAATACTGCAAAAAAATTAACAGTAGTGATTATATATGTTTATAGCTGGTGAACCAGGGAGTGGATTCTTCATTAGTGGAGAAACTGAAATATGAGATTGAAGAATTCTACAAGCTCCCTATGGAAGAGAAAATGAAACATAAGATGAGGCCTGGTGATGTTGAAAGGTATGGACAAACCATTCTCTTCTCCGAAGATCAGAAGGTTGACTGGGCTGATAGATTTTATATGATAACTAAACCCCAACCATTTGAAGTAAAGTTTGAAGTAAAGTTTAAAATAATAATGATGATTTTTTACTTATCAAAAAAAAAAATGATAACTAACCCCCAACCATAGAAGAAAGCCACCCCTCTTGCCAGATATCCCTTCATCACTTAGGTGCTCTCACTCTCTCTCACACACACATGCATAATATATTTGTATTTATGCATTGCTATATGTAAGTATGCATGCATACATATATGTGTATATTTTATGTGTGTAAAATACTTACATGTATGTATATTTCATCCATATCACTGCAGGAATACCTTGGAATCATACTTTTCTGAGTTGCAAAAACTTTCCAAAACAATTCTTGGGTTGATGGCAAAGGCTCTACAGATTGATGAGGAAGAGGTAAAAGAGATGTTTGAAGATGGGATGCAATCAGTGAGGATGACTTACTATCCACCATGTCCAAAACCAGAGCTGGTTGTTGGCTTTACACCGCACTCGGACGCTTCTGGCATCACCATCCTTCTCCAAGTCAATGGAGTGGAAGGCCTCCAAGTTAGAAAAGATGGATTTTGGATCCCTACAAACTTCCTTCCTTGTGCCTTTATGGTGAATGTAGGAGACTTTCTAGAGGTTTGCATACCTACATGGTTAGATCCTTCCCCATTCTCTTTATCACTAACTAAATCTAATAAATTTTCAATACCTATTTTCTGGTTTGGATGTCAATTTAAAATATACAAGCACCTTTTATAATGTTGCTCTTTTGTGACCTAGAGGTCACAGATTCAAAACAGAAATGGCCTTCCACAAGTACGTAAGACAACTTACAGCTTACTCTTCCTAAATCTTGCAATGATAGGAGTCTCGTACACTAGACTAGTACTATATTTTTTACCTAGCTACTACTGCCTGACATAAGTTTTGCAGGATCACAATTTCCTTTTCCTAAAATTAACTTATGCAGCATCACTCATTTCAACATTCTGGGCTCCTTTACTAATTGCTGGTATAGTAAGTACAGATGCTTAATTTGTGAAGTTCTGTAATAAATTTTAAATTTTTTTTACACTCACCTTCCTTGGTCTTAATTGCTAAGACTCGTTTAATTCTTTTTTTACACTCACCTACCTTCTTTAGTTTGATTTGAATTTTCCTTTTCCTTTTCCCACTGTTGGAGTCTACTATTCATCGTCCCACAGACATATTCATCATAATATGGCCATGGTGTGAGTTCCATGATTTAACTTGTTAACACCAAACACTTCAATTCCAAATATCTTTAGGAAACAACACTAATTATTTTCATATTTGGTCGGCCTCTTTGTCGCTTACCTTCAAAACACACAAGTCTTGCTCTTTTTATATAGGGACCTACGTTGAATAAGACCATACCACCCTAAGTCTACTTTTCGTAGTTTTATCTTGTTATACCTAACGTTCCCATCGCATAGTCACATGTTATTTATCTTATCTTTTCTAGTAATTTTTATCATCTCGCAAAGCATCCTTGTCTCCACCACATGGATGAAGCTGTATTTGTGTCTTTCTTAACATTGTATTTTGGTCAGCCTCTTTGTTGCTTGCCTTCAAAACACACAAGTCTTGCTCTTTTTATATAGGGACCTACGTTGAATAAGACCATACCACCCTAAGTCTACTTTTCGTAGTTTTATCTTGTTATACCTAACGTTCCCATCGCATAGTCACATGTTATTTATCTTATCTTTTCTAGTAATTTTTATCATCTCGCAAAGCATCCTTGTCTCCACCACATGGATGAAGCTGTATTTGTATCTTTCTTAACATTGTATTTTGGTCAGCCTCTTTGTTGCTTGCCTCCTCAATTTCTTTCTGTTTATTGTGTTCATGTACAGATCTTTAGCAATGGTGTCTATCGCAACATTGAGCACAGGGTGACAGTAAATCCATTGGAAGAGAGGATCTCTATTGCTATGTTTTTCAATCCCAAATTCCAAGCAAAGGTTGGACCTACAGCTCGTACTATAACCCCAGAAAACCCACCATTGTTCAAAAGGGTGGAGATGGAGAAGTGTGTCAAAGATTTCTACTCCCATAAGCTCAATGGAAAGTCATTCTTAGAGCGAATGCAAATTGAAATTGATGGTGATCATGAACTTGCTCAACAAATAAAATGGTGTAATATATTGAGGTTTGAAGTTAAATTTTATAAAATTGTGTCTTGTTTAATGTTGTTATAAATAAAATGGTGTGATCGATGTCTATTATGGTTTGGAGTATATGTGTTGTATATAAGTCGTACCACATTGCTGGTGGGATAATGTTGTTATAAATAAAATTGTTTTATGTACTTGTTGGTTTGGAGTTAAATCTTGTAAATGGTATTATGGTACCTCTTGTATGTAAAGTTATACTAGTCTCTATTACATTGATGAATTTTATGGTGGGATAATTCAATCCTGTTTTGTATCTAAACTTGTTACAATTTAGGGTTGCATAATAATGGAATGATATTGGTTTTTATGTATATATGGTACTGCTAAGACGTTATATATCCGAAGACTTGAACATTAATTTGGTAATCAGGTGCAAAAGGAATCAACAAATTGCGGTAGAATTTGAAAGTGAACATGATCCAAAGCACAAGAGAGCTTTATGGAGGTACTAATTTGATCCGAACTTCAAAGTGGTTATTTTGGAGCACCAAATCAGTGCAACGATGACAACAACATAAAACTAGCATGCCATAATTATTGCATTCGACATAGCCACTAATACCTACCAGCTTGAGTTATTATTATCCATGGGCACTAATAAGGGTCTTTAATTGAAGTGTTAGAGATACAAGGCAGCTACCTTCCATGGGATTAATACCTCATTCCCGCAACATCCACGTATCATTGGCAGTAGAATTTCAATGCATCAATTGCAACCTAGCATATCATCAAGCCTCAAACAAGAAAGTTTCAAACCAGAGGAAAAGAAACAGTGTCATGATTTTATTAACTTGAAATAAAACTAGTTACAGGTGAACTTTTATACAATTCACAAACAAGGCACATGGCCACTCAACAACTAGGAACTAAGCAAGAGTCAACTCCTAGCAAAAGTCAAAATACACCTTGCCAAAGTAACACCAAAAAAAATTACAGTGGCAATCTCTCTGTACATAAGAGGCAAGCTTTAGCCTTGTGCCATTTCAGGCAAGCTTTAGCCCTGTTTCTCAGAGTTTTCTGCAGCAGTAAACATATACATTTCTATTCGCAAAATTTTCTTTTACAGTTGTAAAGAATGAACTGATTCCAAATTGCTGAAAAAAATGAATGGCGTTGGAAGCTATTCTGGTTTGAAACTTATCCCAAGATCTCTCCCTCTTCTACATCAATCGCCTCCTCATCCATGTAGAAGTCATCCTCCTTCAGAAACAAACCCAATAACTCCAACGGTTTATTTGATACAAATACTCTAAGGTTCTCAAAGTATTGGACAATTTGCAGATTGTCCTCGAACTCTACAGTCTTCTCCAACTGAAACGAGGAAAGGGGAAGACAAGTTAATTTCTTTTTAAGCAACAGATTCAAAGGTGTACATCAGGAAAGAAAAAAAAAAAAAAATTTGAACAAAAAATAGACAAACATAAACCTTCTGCAGACGAAGTCGGGCAGCGTCTCTTTCTCTCTTCTGCATCATTTGTCGTGCTTCTGCTATCTTTTGTGAAAAAGATTCATCGGCTCTGATTTGGGGTTCAACTCTGCCCTTATCTGTAAACAAGAAATTTAAGAGTTCAAATATGATTTTGAATTGACATTTTGTTTCAATTAGAAGGAAGACAAAAATGTCTCATTTCCCCTTGTAAAGTCACTTCATGCAATATGGAACCTATGCTCCTGTCAGCATTCCACACCTGAGATACTTAATGCAAACTAAAAAATAACCATAGGGGAGCCAATATCCTATCCTTTTTTTCTCAATTTCAGCCAAAAACTTATTTATCCAAAACACAAATTAATAAAACTTGAGTTCATTTATGGAATAGTAAAGATTACCTTTCCCATGCAGCCTTGCAACTCTTTCCTTTTCCTCCCTTTTAGCCTGGTCAGCTTTACCAGCCTGAAGAAGAATTAGACAAGAAGCTTAATGAGCAAAACCACAACAGCAAAACCTCAACCTTGCAGTTGAAAACTAATCAATGAAAAATACTTACTTTGATAGCCCTTGCATCGAGACAACTCCTGATAATTCTTTCCAGCTCGCACAAAGTGTTATCATCCAATGCTTCAATATTTAATTTGATCTTTTCTGGTTTCAGGTAGGTGAAAGCATCATTTTGAAGGAAACCCTGCAATTGGTGCGCCTTCTTTCCAGTTGATACTTCCACAAATGAATCTTTCCTAACATTTTTCTTCTTTGTCTTGTCACAGTTCAGATTTCCCGAACGAATCCCAGACACCATTTTGTCACCAACAATGCATGAATCACCTACTGCACAATTAGCACCACAAACAAGACTAAATACATTAAAAAGATCACTTTTCTTTTTTAATTCAATGAAAAGAATGAATATAAGAACCCCAAGTTATAATAATAATAATAATTTTTCTTTTTTAATTCAATGAATAGAACACGAGTTATTAAAAAGGAACAAATAAAGATAACCCCTAATTGCAACCTAATTATAGGGAGAAAACAATTGCAACTTCCAAAAAAAAATTGTATGAAACAGTAGTGATTGGTTTTGGAAATTAATCAATAATCACATCCTTGAATCATGAAACATCAATTAAAATATAACCCTGAAATCATACAATTAGCAAAATACGAAGACAAACAAAAATTCGAAGATAATTACCAGAATTGAATCCGAATGACGTGAAAATCTGTATCAATCGACCAAAAAAGGGAATGGAAGAGAAAGGAAAGTAAAGGTTTAGAGAGGCAACGAGATTTTCGGAAAGAAAAGGGAAAGAAATGATTTTCGAGGGTTTAGGTCTGAATTTGTGTGTCAAAGAGAGAATAGGGCTCTATCAATAAATAGGGCTTTATCAGAAAATAAGGCTTTATCAAGTTGGCGGCGCTGCTGTACGTATTGCGAGGGTTTAGGTCTGAATTTGTGTCAAAGAGAGAATAGGGCTTTATCAGAAAATAACATGCTATGCCGATTGATAAAGAAGAAGTCAAAGGGAACTATTGGATTTACATCGGCTTAAGGACAAAAGAAAATCAAATAGAAATATACCTTCGCAAATGCTGCACTGTGTGAGACTTCAATTTCAAGATGCTGTGATGAAGTCGAAAACTTGGTTCATCGGACGCATGAAAATGCCTCGGCGTATTGAGAAGACCGAGCATAAGCCCTTCTTATCAAGTTGGCGGCGCTGCTGTACCTATTGCGAGGGTTTAGGTCTGAATTTGTGTGTGTCAAAGAAAGAATAGGGCTTTATCAGAAAATAGGGCTTTATCAAATTGGCGGCGCTGCTATACGTATTGCGATTTGCAAAGGAATAAAGGGGAGGAAAAGATTTTCGAGGGTTTAGGTCTGAATTTGTTTGTGTCAAAGAGAGAGTACGGCTTTATCAGAAAATAGGGCTTTATCAAGTTGGCGGCGCTGCTATACGTATTGCGATTAGGGCAAGTGCTGGCAATACATGCTAGCAAAATTAAGAAATAGAAATCATAAATATTTATTTCAAATTAAAAAATAAAATAAAATAATCAAAATCATAAATTTATTTTTTACAATAAAAATAAATCACATATAAAAAGAAATAGTAAAGAAAAAAAACCAAAAAAAAAAAGAAAAGAAAGAAAGGGAAAAGAGCCGTTGCTTGTGGGCAAAAAAAAAAAGAGGACAAGAGCTATTGCTGCAGGGCATATGGGGCTTGTTTGGCTCGCAAAGGATTTGTTACCTGTTGCGATGTCCTTTGCTAGTTTTCCTTTGGGTCCCACAGATTGCTAGCTTTATACCAATTCACATACTAGCAACACCAACTCCAGAGCTAGCAAACAAGCCCTTGTACCGGTTGCTCTTAGCCTAGCAATAGTGGGGATAATGCAAAAATGACTGTGTTACCCTCACCACAATTATATTTCTTTTCTTATTGCATTTTAATTTTTAATGAGAGAGAGTTTGAGGATAAATCAAAACATATATATATTTTTTCTTTCTAATAGACATGCATAAAAAATATTTTTATTACTTTTCTTTTCTTTCTTTTCATTATCTTTTGGATTCGTATTGGTTAATAAAATTTATGACCCTAGTTGTCATTTTGGATATATTTTAGATTGTATATATATATATATATATATATATATATATAGATCTATCTAATTTCGAAGTGAGACAAATTTAGTAATTAATTTTTATCCAATAAATTTGAAATAGAGGCATTTCCTAATATACCTATATCCTTTTAACATCTGCATATTTCATTTATCTTAAGAAAAATTTATGAGGTTATTTTTGTAGTCACTACCATTAAGCACAAATCAATATTTGTTTTAATGAGCTTGGATGATTATGATTTACCATAAGTTGATGGCAGGTACTATATACCTTATTTATTTTGTTTGGATTAGAGTATGTGATCGGTCTCTACCATTAAGCACAAATCAATATTTGCTTTAATGAGCCTGGATGATTATGATTTACCATAAGTTGATGGCAAGTACTATATACCTTATTTATTTTGTTTGGATTTTTTTTAGGGGCGTGGCAGAGCCCATTAACTCAAATTCAGAATAGCTAAACCTATCCTATTTATAACCGAATAAAAGAAATCAGTCTATTGTAGGAAAGTTAGGATTACCACTTTCCTTTTAGGTTCTTCAATGCCTAATTGAAGGGGACTTTAATAACAGATAATGGAATAGATGAAAGGAGAAAGAGAACTGCACAAGCATTCATCAATCCCAGAAATTTATAAAATAACAGAGGGGACAAAAGCCAAGCGTCCAATCTCTTATTCCATAAATAGAATTCCAGTACAAGGTTTACAAGTAAAGGAATTGTAATCAAACTATAATACCAGTCCTATGAAAATACAGATAAAGTAATATACTGGAAAAGGAAAGAAAAATACAAGGAAAGTGGAAAATATTACATGATGAAAAATGCATTGTGTGGTCAGGGACCATTGTGCAAATATCTTCTAGTGCTATTTATAGAGAAGTCTTGTAGCGGTTGAAAGTAGTTTGGTATTTTCATGTTGTTTAAATTCAAATTCAAAATCAAATACTGATTTAATTATTTAAATCACACAACCAATATCTAGGCTTTGAAAAATCATCCATGTCTCCATTAATATTATTTTATTAATGGGCAAATTTCTCAAAACCCCCAAAACTATCAATAAGTGATCATAAAACCCCAACCTGTTTCTAAAAACCCCAACACTATTATGAAGTTATCACATTACCTAAATATCCGAGTCCGACCCGTTAACCGGGCTGTGAAATGACAAATTTAACCTTATCATTTAATGTTAAATTAAAAATAGAAAATTATTATTTTTTAAATTACAAAAATACCCTCTCCTTTTTTCTTTTTCTTTTTTTCTTTTTTGTTTCTTCTCATCATCATCTCCGGCAGCAAGAATATTATTGGCGATGAAGCTAATCGCCGCCAGCAGTGACCAAACCAGGTCGCTGTCGGCTTCCTCTCATTCCACCTAGACTGATCGCTGCTTACCATTGCTTATTTCTCATCGGCGGCCCAAGGTTGTGCCCTTCTTCTACCGATCAACTAGGTTGCCAGAGCGCGACCTGGTGAGCACCATGGATGATGACCAGAAGCTTTTCAAAATTGAGAGAAGAATGTAATACCCCTAGTTTCCAAAAGGATAGAATGGGAATTTAATTTTGATAATTTTGAGTTTTATTGCATTTTTAATATGTGAGTTATGTGTTTTGGTTTGTTTAATTGATTAAGTGTGTATTTATTTTTAAATAAATGATTTACTTAAATTTGTTTTAATTAATTACTTGAATAAATTGATTGAGTTAATTGTTTTATTTGAATTAATTGGCTTCTTTTTGGTTTAGTTGCATCTTCGTTTTATTTGACTTAAGTTATTTGATGTAGTTATTTAATTATGGAAATTAAGTGAATGAATTGTTTTAAAACAATACGTTAGTTAAACAATAGGGTTAAGAAGATTGTATAGTAAGCCGTCGTATTTTACAACTTAGAGGGTTTCATGGGCCGACTAGGATTGGAGTTAGGGCTTAGTCTCTGAATACACGTGAATTAAGGTTATTGCTTTCACCTATAAGTATAAGCAATACGGTGGTTTAGGGTTTAGGAAAAATAAACGTACGTTCTGTAAACCACAAACAGAGCTCTAATCTTGTAGTAAAAACCAGAGAGATACAGAGAGAACCGTAGTGGGAATTTGGGTGGTTTACAAAGCTGAGTCAAGGAAGGAAGTTTGGTGTGTGTTATTGGACTGCAATAGGTGTAGCAAGGGTGGTTTAACACAACCCACATTGCCGGAGAAGATAGAGACAACAGGTGGAGTTTTTATTCAAAGTTTCAAAGGCAAGTTCTGTTCTTCTCTTTCCCAAGAATTTGTGTTATGTGCATGCTTAGTTGGACTCCAGGAATTAAACTAAGTGTTAATCACATTGTTTAAACATGTTAAATCAGTTTCTAACATCACTGGATTATATTCTATTTCTCAGTTTTTACAAGTTTCAGTTTTTATATGTTTATCATTGCTTAAAACATTGATCTGTAATTAAATTCATAGATGTATAACAGAATTGAAAGACTGAAAACCACATGAGTCGGAGAAGACAAAAAAAAAACAGGCACGGCTCTTAGAAGTGAGAGCAGGCTCCAAAAATGGAGGGAGCCTGCTCCCAAAACACAAGAGCCGGCTCTCTAAGGTTGAAAGCCGGCTCTCAACCATCTAGAGCCGGCTCCCAAGGAAGGGGAGCCGGCTCTCCTTTTTTGGAGAAGGCTTTTTGAAACTCAGAGCCTTCTCTTTCTCTTGGAATTGTATAAAACTGAGTTTCTAGGTTCTGTTTGGCTATCACTGTGGTTCTTAAAATTGTTTAAAAGCTTTTGGGTGACTTAATACATGGTGTAAGACTTATAAAATAGTTGAGAAGCAAGTTTATAGTCAGAATTTAGGACAGAGTTAACATAAGTTTAATCGAAGGTCGGTATGTGGATAAGTGAACAATTAACTTATGTTGCAGACTGATTTGCAATTTGATTTCTTTGCATGATCTTAAGTTTTAATCATGTTCTGTAGTTGAGTTATGAGCATTATGTTATTTAAATACATGTATGCTTTGTTGGGATTGATTGATAATTTTAATCTGTTATATATCTCATTTGTTACAACACTGTTTGGAGGAGATTTGATGCCTTTGCATGTTCTTAGGTTTGGAATCATGTTTTGCAGCTCTGTTATAAGCATGTTGCTATTTAATAATGTGTATGCTTAGTTGGAATAGACTGATGTTTAAGTCTGTACATAAATGTATCAATTATAGTACTGTTTGGAGAAGTAAGTTTCATAAACATGTTTTATTAAACTTAATGGACTGAAACTTGGGTTCTAAATCTTTCAGTGGAGGCATGACTTAGTTACACCCATGTTTAACTATACTTATGTTGGACCAAATTTATATACACCTTGCTACGGAACTGCATCGATTTATGGACAAGTTGAAGAATGTAAATGCTTAGATTATTTTAGTAGTTTACATTATTGGAATGTTATTGTTAGGCCTTATAATGAATGCTTAATATTGATATATATGTATTAGATTATAATGATGCATATTTTAGAGAATGGTTGTTGTATACGTAGTGTTATTTGTAAACTATGCTATTTGGAGGATTGTATGTACCGGTATGGGACGGTGACATACTAGGTATGGATTAGATCAAGCACTAAATCCTACCTAATTTGGATTAAGGTATGGATTAACCATAAAGGTTAAGTCCATCACCTACTTGTATCATGTCAATCAAATAAATTGAATGACCTATTATGGTTTCAAAATGGTTTTGTTATACATATATCAGACTACTATACAGATGGATGATATTTTGTATTAAGAGTACGGACTTTATATATTTATGTTATGGTGCCATGGTATGAGCTTGAGTCTCAGGACCATGGTTAGGGTGCGTATATCGCCTAGGATGGATAACTGGACAGTGGTTTTGTTCCCTGGTAGGTCTAGATACACATGACCACATTACGTGCGATTTGCATGGTATCTCTACTCAGGCTGAGACATACCTATTGGACTAGTGAGCGTCCTATAGTGTGTAATATATACATATATGGACTACTCTAGATATTGTTGAGTCTATCTAAGATATATCTGCGTATCGGATTCCTATTTGGATTGTAGTAGATCAGGACTTGCATGTGGGCCTGACCCACTCTATTATTTTTCAGGTGTTCAACAGTACCTGGCTTAGAGCTTGATCGTATTGATGCAGATACAGACACTCACTCTTCCGGTTACATAGGATTTTCTTTCTATTTTAATTTTAGATTTTAATTCTGTAAATTTATTCAAGGATTTGGGATTAGGGGTCCACTAGGTGGATTCCCGAGTTGTACGGTTTTAAATTATATTTATTATTTC